CATTCATAAATCTAGAGGTCTTAAATTCTTGTGTTATCAACATTTTTTATTAACCTAGATATCTAACCCGTTATGCGAGCCGATTAATCCCAAAATAACAATCTACTTTGCTATTTGCAGAAATTTATAACACATCTAAACTGTTATTTATAACTCTAACTTATTTGTCATTAAGAAAACATGTGCCAACTTCCCCATCAATTTTTCTTGAATTTTTTCATTTGTATCAATATATTACATTGTTTTATTATTATTTTTCATTATTTATAAAAATATCTAAAATATATATATTTTTTAAATATAGAGGCATCATATGGCCTCGCATGATCTTTGCAAAACCTGAGGGGCAAGTTTGACTTCACCAATAGTACAAATGTTGACTTTCTATTCGATAAGACGGTTCGATCCTTTATTAAATAGGTTTTGGTGTATTTACTTTTATTTATGTTAGAATTATATAATGAAAATATAAAAAAATATTAGTCTTAGGGCCTGTTTGTTTTTTTAAATTTTCATTTAATTGCCTTTTAACTCTTAATCGGTCAGACATAAGTGATTTCAGACTGTTTGTTTTTTTTTTTTAAATTAAGAGTTTTTTTACCTCTTACCGTCCTCTTAAAATTAAGTGGGAATCCTATGTCTGAAATCAATTTCAGAGCCGCATCCCATCTCCATCTCGCTCTCAACTCTCGATTTCTCCATCTCCATCTCGCTCTCAACTCTCGATTTATCCATCTCCATCTCGCTCTTAACTCTCGATTTCTCCATCTCCATCTCGCTCTCAACTCTCGATTTCTCCATCTCCATCTCGCTCTCAACTCTCGATTTCTCCATCTCCATCTCGCTCTTCCATCATCATCTCGCTCTCAGCTCTCGATTTCAAGGTCTCGCTCTCAGCTCTCGATTTCAAGGTCTCGCTCTTAGCTCTCGATGTCAATAGCTCACGATTTTTTGACTGCCTCTCCGTCCAAGCTCTCGATCTCTCGAATGCTCTCGATGTCAACAGCTCACGATTGTTCGTGTTTATATTGATTCAAATTTCAGACGTAAAAACAAATAGTCTGACTGATTCAGATTCCAGACTTCAGACGTAAAAACAAACAGTCTGACTGATTCAGATTTCAGACTTCAGAACCACCTCTTAAAATTCAGAAGTGAATTCAGACTTCAGACTTCAGCACCTCTTAAAAAACAAACGCCACCTTAATTTTAGTGGGGTGGTGTCTGATTGGTTTGAACTTGTCTCCAAATGTCAAAAGTACCTGGAGGTCACAGGTGCAAATCCAAGGAGGAATAAAAATCCCCTAAATGCGATGACTCCGGGCTATCTGCAACAAGTGATCGTTCTGATATTAGTCGGCTCGCATAGCGGGTTGAATATTCAGGTTAATCCAAAAAAAATGTGTGATGAAAAAAAAAAAGTAAATGTACATTTAAGGGTATGTAGAGATGCATTTATCCATCCGTATAAAATCATATTTTATAAACAAAAATTTATAGTAAAACAAAATTATTATCACATTTATTTTGAAACCATAATAATCCCAAGAAATGGAGGGTTTCGTGGAAATGAAGGTTGAAAGTAAGAAAACTCATGGAAATGAAGGTTGAAAGAAAGAAAACTCATGGAAATGAAGGCCGATAGAAAAGATGATGTGATGGAATTAGGTTTTGTATTGATATGAAATAACAAGGGTAATATTGTAATCTCAAATTTAATCTCATGTTGTTCCATCTTTTTTGATGGAACAAAAAAACTCAAGAATAGTTCCATGAAATCTTATTGTTGTCTCATATTTTTGTCTCATGACACGCCAAACATGAGATTATTTATTTTTGTTTCGTCTCGTCCTACCTAATCTGCATACCAAACGCACCTTAAATTTGAATCAACGATTTAAAATTAAAAATAGAATCAAAAAAATGTATCAAAAGGTGTATTTTGATACCATGAACTTGTTGAATATCAAATACCATAGCTACATAAACAATGTCCAAAAGCTATGATTTTCAAATCCCGGTTGTCCCAAAGTAAGTATTAAATATTCCAATCAAAATTCAAATATTTGACTTTAAACAATGAAGATTTTTATATTCGTAAAGTTAAATTACATTGGCAAGTAAATGAAACAATGGGGTCGTTTACCAAACGATTACCCGGATAAGTGATTACCAAGTAATATTATCTCACCGGATGAATATAGTAAGGACCGAGAATCTTGTCCGGTAAAAGCGAGATAAGGACCAAGAGTCTTACCCGGTAAGTGAGAGTGACGACTCTTACCACGGTAAGCGTTTACCAGGTAAATTGTTGTATGCTATGTCGTTTTGGTGGACTAAAATCTTACCCGATAAATACATAATAGTGTTAAATTTTACCAGCAAACACTTACCGGATAAGTGTTTGATAAACGGCCCATAAAACGATAATTTATCAAACAAATCCATGTTAAAAAAAGGATCGCACTTATGGTTCTTTAGGATAAAGAAAAGTAAAATAAAAAAAGGACCGCACTGTCTTGAATTAGTCAAGTCTTGTCCGTTCAACCAGATCAAAGTCAAAGTAAATATAGGTGGACCTAAAGTTGTCAAATACAACGACAAATATCTAATATAAAAATACAGATAAAAGAAAACATAAAACATAAGGAACATTCACATTTACACCAGCTTTAATAATTGTGTTTATGAATGTCACGTTATAAACATGTCCATATTCATCGAATCTTGCTAAATCCTATCAGCGATTCTTTAAAATAAAGATCATAATTGAAGAGTGGGTAATGGTCATGATCTTTTACAATTTAAGAACCTTAAAAATTGAACGAGCGATGGATTAGAAATTTAAAATATAAATTCTACAAACAACATATTTATTGTTATTATTTCTTTTTTCTAATTGAAATTATAAGGTTTAAATATGTCATCACACACGTTTTATCGAACATACATAGATTTTTATATGAAAAAATAATATGAACATTCTGATTTAATAAGCAGTTGTAGAGATGCATAAGAACCGACTGGTTATTGACCCTGTCCTCTTGGCTTAGTTTAGTTACACCAATTGATCATGTACTTAACTGGTCATGGGTCTAAACTCTAAAATTAGAACCGATAGTTCTAATCATTCCTAATGAGGTTTGAAATTTTTACTGCAAAAATCCTTCAATAGCTTCCACAAAAGTAATTCAAGCATGGGGAATCTTATTAATAGCCATTCTAAAGGGTATTGACTAGACCGATTCAATTTGTAACTATACTAATTATGTAATATTTGATCGGAACGGTCCTTAATTGGTTGTAACTCGATTAAATGAGGATCGTTTTAGACTGGACGATTGGATACTGCATGCATTCGGTCCTTAGGTCAATTTCAAATGTGATTTGGATCTTTTAGGTTGCGTTTAGTACATGGGAGAGGATAGGACATGACGGGACAAAACTAACTATTTCACGTTTAGCTCGACATGGGACAAGACAAGAATTCACTGTCTCACGTTTATTGCGACATGAGACAATGACAAGAACTGGGACAAGGTTGGACAAGGATAAGAATTGAGACAACATGAGACAAAAAAAGCTTTCTTGTTCCACCAAGATAGGTGGAACAAGATGGGACAAGAATGAGACAAAAACTAAAATATTACTAATTAAACATCGTCTGATATATAACCTTAACAAAATATTTGTTTTAGTGGTCACCACCACTAGTTGCAGCCGCAACCACCACCTTAGCCACCTCCACCACCTCTACAACCACCATGGTCCGTCTATCACCACCTCCACAACCACCATCGGCTATCGACCACCACCACCACCGTTGACAATCTCTACCTTCTCTTCTACTACAACAACCTCCTTCATCACCTCCATAACCATCATTGCACACCGACCACCACCATCCATTACCACCACCATTGACCACCCCCACCTCCACCTCCACCTCCACCTCCACCTTCACCTTCTCCTCTACTACAACCTCCTCCACCACCTCCACAACCATCGTTGGTCACTGACCAACACCGTTCATCGCCACTACCGTGGGCCATTTCCCTTCCACCATTGACTACCACTACCACTGCCTACCACCACCACCACCGGCTACCACTATCTACCATATTCACGACCTCCATAAACACCACCGTCCATCTCCACCACCACCTCCACCATAACCATCACCACTGCCCACCATCACACCTACCTCCACCACATAGGCCACAACTACCTCTTCCATCACTGTCGACTGCCACCACCACTATCTACCATTTTCACGTCCTCAACAACTACCATCGTCCATCAATTACCAATGTTTCTACCTCCACAACAATTGTTGTTGCAACAATCTTCATCGTGTCTACACCAATTAATAAGAATCTTCCAAATCGAATAAAATATAATTTATCCTTTGTATGAATCGGGTTTTTTTCAAACTAACATCAATTATATAAAAAATTTCATTCAAATTTGGTACTATTTTATATTTATTTATATGAAAATTGTGTAAAAATGTTTATAAATTAAATTATAACTATTATATAATATATAAAATTATAATAACTTTTGTGGGCAAATTGTTTAGTTCTGTCATGTCCAGTACCAATCGTACCAAACACTGGACAAATATTTGTTATGTCCAATCCTACCATCTTGTCTTGTTTAGCCATATCCAATTATGTTATGTCTAGTACTATCCAATCATGGTTAGATAACAAACGCTAGCTTATGCATCTACAAAAAATCTGATTATCTTTATGTGACTAATCAAGGGCATTATTGTAAATTTGAAAAAAAAGATGGGCATAAATGAGGAGCCAGCAGGACCAGCTGAATTGGTTTTGACTTTTGACAACGGGGCAGAAATGTGCATAGATTAAAATCGAGTGGCGTGCAAGTAAATTGATAAACCAATAGGGGCATAAATGTAAAACAAACGTTTCCAGATATAAATCTTCTCTTGTAGAAACTGCTACTCCTATATATACTTGGATTCTTCACATTCATTCCCACGCTCATCTCTCTCCCTAGAATCGACCCCAATTCCAGAGAGAATCACACACATATTGGTGAGAAAAAGAGGGAGAGATTCAAAAGAAGTCCGATTGTTCATGGAGGAATTGGGAAGGATGAAGAGATTCGCTGTTCTTCTGTGCGCGGAAGACTCCGATTACGTGAAGAAGAAATACGGTGGATACTTTGGGGTTTTTGTTGCAATGCTGGCCGAAGAAGGCGAGATTTGGGACGTTTTTCGTGTATCCAGCGGTCACTTCCCGTCCGATGACGAGATCGGTCTCTACGACGGTTTTGTGATCACAGGTAGTTGTAACGATGCCCACGGTAACGACGCTTGGATCTGTAAACTTCTCATTCTGCTCAAGAAACTGGATTCGTTGAACAAAAAAGTACTCGGCATTTGTTTCGGCCATCAGGTAACTTCTTATTGATTAACTACTCGTTTTATCTTCATCTAATCAATTTCATAGCTATGATTTGAAGTATATCTTACTTTTTTTCCCTAAATTAGTGCTCTCGGAAGTTTGATTTACAACTGCACAGCTGTCTTCTACACGCTTGCTATGCCTCGTTTGAGAAACTTACATGTTTAGTCCTTAGACTTGGTTCTAGTTACTTTTTGGCACTAAATTCTAGAAACGATTCAAAAAGGCAACTGGTCAATCTACTTCGAGATCCCGAGTATTCAATTGATTAATTCTACCCAACTCTGCATCCAGTTTTACGTCAACACGCCCAAATTTTAGTTTAAACCTAAATATATATTTGTTTTCAATATTCAACTCAAAACAATTAATATTCGTTTTCGAATGTCAACTGAATTATTTACTAATCAACAATAATCATTTGTTATATCATCCTATATGCACGCCACTCTTTTAGGTCTCTTGTTTTATCCTGCATCAAAATATAACAAAATTTTCTTGTAACTAAGATCTTTTCCTTTAAAATTTTATGTTTTGTACCCATTTTGAATAGTAATGTTGATTATGCAACATTCAATCACATGGATATCAAGTTATCAATCAATATAGTTTTTACTGATGACGTATTGATCGATCTATCATTATGCTTTTTTTTTCAATCAGTATAACTTAAAACTTTGGCATCCATTTAACCAAATGGTTTACAAGATCAACATGTTGGTCATTATTAGTATATTAGGAAATTTTGGTACTTTGTTACATTTGTTGAAAAAAGTCTTTCTTTACACTAAGAGTCAAGGAAAACTACTTTACATTTTAGCGCATTATACCAAATGATTTTTGTCGTTATGTTATTTGTATGATACCTTTGGTAAAAATGGACAAACATTGACAAAAAATTGGGTAAGAGAAGACAGCAACGTGTATGAAATATACGTGTTCGTGATCATACAATAAAATTTCACAACCGTGGAATGGTCCCGTCATGTAACATTTAATGCAAACATAGCCGTCGAATATTTAGGTGGACCTACATACCTTTAAATACGTGGACACAATATTGCAATCTATTTATCGAATTTTCAGATGTTGTCCCTATCCCAAAAACGTTCTTTAATTGGTTTTTATGATGGTTTTTTGAGATTCTTGTGATTTAAAAGCATGTTTTTTATGTTTACATTTAGCATACCCAACAAATAATTCAAGGAATACTTTCCAGAATCATTGAATCTTTAGGTTATTTTATAAAATAATTGAGAGTCTAGTTAGATGAAAGATTCTTGAATTATTATTTCTACATAAAAAGCTAGAACAGCCACGACACATGTCCACCACCATACTTGCATGAGTAAGACCACCCTCTCATTGTCTGACTTGTCTCATTGTAATTCTTAAAGTGTACACTTGCATCACTTATATAGCGACATCTTATAAGTTATATACAATATTTGGTGATAATAATTAAACAAACATATATACCGATAAGGATAATTCACTAGGTTTTTTAATGATTGGTATTGGTTTAGCAACTAAAAAGAAAAAATCTTTTTTTAGTGTCGTCCATGTAAGGCGGTCGCACTATGGTGCATACGTTGACGGCCTCATTCCTCCATCTTTTCCCAAAAGCCGTTTTTTAGGATCGTGAAAGATGAGACCGTATTATTTTGTTGGGTGCAACAATATATTTTATTGAAACTACAATAATAACACAAGTTTATTTTATCAGAGTTGGTTTGCACGGTCTTTTCTCCCTTCTAGATATGGTTCACGTTTTTTAACTTGTAATTTCAAATTTATTGTGTTTCTGAAAGAAATTGAGATAAAAGACTCGAACAAAGGACCTCACATACAAAAAACAAGGAGTTAACCGACTTACCAATGCTGATTTTGTAAAAAAAATCTATAAGTTCGTTTCTAATAGTCAAATATTGCCACCATTCGAAAAAATTCCTAGGTTCACCTTTGTTTTCTACTCTTGGTTATTTGTTAATGGGTTGTTTGTTTACCTCTTAATAGTTCCATTAAGAGGCAGACTCTGAATCGTTAAGAGGTGAATCTTGTTTGGAAAAAAAAATGTTTGTCATTTAATGGTTCTAAAACTTTCTTAATGATTTTGTATCTTGTGTCTCTCTTAACCATTAAGCGCCCTAATTTCATTGTAAACAATTACCAAACAATTATATTTCATTTTGCACTATATCATGAGAGTCTCTTAATCATTCTGATCACTTAATCATTCTACACCGAACCATTCAGCAACCGCCAAACAGCCCCTTAATATCATAGACACATGAAAGTCGTTTTATTTTGGTAACCTATATATGTACGAAATGTTGACTCTACAATTTTTTTGTACAATGAGCTAGTAACATTCTATGAAACGTTAATTAGATATTAGCCCGCGCACTTGGAGGAAAGGTTGCTCGTGCAACAACAGGATGGGATATAGGAGTGCGGAGCATCAATTTCTCGACATCTATGAAGATGTTCACTAATTTGAAATTGCCAACTCGGTTATCTTTGATTGAATGTCATCGTGATGAGGTACATTTTACGTTTTTCAAAAGTTGTGGATTTATCGCTTACCACACTTGTTTTGTCCATGAATATGATGTTTAATTCTAGACTTGGTGTAACAAATTAGGTTCGGGAACTCCCATCCAAGGTAGAGGTGTTGGCATCGTCCGATAAAACTAAGGTTGAGATGTTTAGGTACGGTGATCATATCATGGGAGTTCAAGGCCACCCCGAGTACACCAAGGATATTCTTCTACAACTAATCGACCGCCTTCTTCAACACAATCTTATTGAGGTACTACAATGCAAACATTGGGTTATAACGATTACACCTTGTCATTGTTAAAATATGTGAAACATGCCCTGTCATGTCTCATGTACCAAATGCAACCTTAGAGTTGAATAAAAAGGGTCCCGCATATCCTAACAGTGATATTGATCACACAATATTTCTGGATTTATAATAAAATGAAAATTAATAAGAAAAGGATTGTTATGAATAGGAATGGAATGCTATAAAAGGGAGAGGTAGCATGGAGGAGAATGAGCCAGACAGGGAGACATGGAAGCAGCTGTGCACCAGCTTTCTAAAGGGGAAGCTATGGTAAACAACACTATTTATATATTTTTTATTTCCATAAACAAATCGATGCTGGAATGTAAATATTCATTTTATCATTTTTTCATTTTTTCATTTTTCCTTTCTTCCTCTCATCCTTTTGTTTGTTTTATGTTCGATTAAATGAAAATTGAAAGAAATTTTTAAAAAAAAGTAATACCATACTAAGGTTGGGTTCCGATGAAAAAGAGAGTTAAAGTGAGAAGCGTAAGAAGTGATCTTCATTCTTGAATGCACATTAGGATGAGATGCATTGGATCAATTCATAATCAAAGGTGGGTTTGAGATTAAAGGTGATCAAGGGTCCACAGCCCTTCCTACGCTTCTCATAACTCTTCTTCTCATGCGATCATTTGCCTAATGTGCATCTCATTCTAATGTGCATTTAAGGGTGGAGATCGCTTCTTGCGCTTCTCACTTGAACTCTCTTTCTTACTAGAACCAACACTATACACAAGTATCAACTGACAATATGGCTTATGTTTTTGGGAATTGTTCGAGTCCTGTAAAGCCATTAAGATTTTTTTTGGCTATTTTTCAGGACCCTTAGGATTAGTCGAGGTACAAATACACAAGTCCGGACATCTATAGTAAACCCAAAAAAACAATAATTGATTAGCAATTTACTCACGTAAGTTGGACATGTATCCGTTGTTTCCGGACCCATTGTGTTCCATCCATATATTCTTTTTTGATTCCTTCCTCTTGTTATTTGGCAATAAACATGATGTTCTTGTCGTGACGTTTTTCATTTATCGATGAAAAGCTTTCAACATTTTCTTGTGTTGCGCAATTTTCTTTCTTTAAATTTATTACAGATCATATCGATTACGATGTTATTATAATAATCGAAATGCCAAATGTTTTTCTAACATATCCCAGATACGTTTGCTTTTCCCATTTGGTTAACTTTTTTGAGTTTCAAGATATTTATATATGTTTATTCTGATCAGAGCTTTGTTTTTCACTTTTGTTGGTCGTTTGGGTAATTGGGTTTAATCGCAAATTTCTGAGAAGGCACATGCTACTAGTTGTTCAAATGGTTAAAAGAATATTCAAAACAAAAGGACTCCAATTGAGGGACTCCAATTGAGTAGTTAGGGGTCGTTTAGTAAATATTACCCGGTATGTGGCGTGGTATAGTAAACATGATAAAAATCGAGAATCTCAGCCGGTAAGAACGACGATAAAGATGTAGAGTACAACTCGGTAAGTGAAGGTACTCTTAGTCGGGTAAATGTTTATCGGGTAAATTGTTGCATAAGACACCATTTTGATGTACTACAACCTTGCCCGGTAAAATGGGTTATAGTGTTGACTTCTAACGGTAAGCGTTTACCGGGTAAGTATTTGGGTAAACGACCCTTAAATTAGTCACTCAAAAATCCACACATGTTCCATTCACAATTATAAGGAATATATATACAACGAGACGCGGTATAGTTTAACAGTTACGGTGAATATTTTTTAGCATTTAGTGAGTTGACTTTTTAATCTAATTTCATTTTCCTTCAATTACGGTCATCTACCTTCAACTATATTTATCATCACTTTTAGTTACTTTCACTAACTTTTATATACATTTAATTACTTTTACATGGATAAATTTGTTAAAGTTTCAGTCATGAAGATAGTTGAAGGTATATGAAGGTTTTGTTCTCACTTTGTCACCTTAACTTTTATTTTCATCTGAACCCAACTCTATATATGATTCGGTTCCCATGAGAAATGTCATTTTTATATGAGAAGCGTGAGCAATATAATCTTCACGTGTAATATTATATGTGAAAGTACCCTCAAATTGTTTGAAGGTGTGTGAAGATGACCACCCGCCTTCAAAAAAACTGGTGAAGCTACATATTCAAGTATCGTCTCTTCACCACATTCACAAAATATAACGTAATATTCACACAATACAAAGATATACGTTCACCAATTCTAAAATATACAAAGTCAAAGAAAACGAATGGGAAATGAAGAAAGAAATACTTCATCTGTGGCATGAAAATCTTTTCAGAAAATCCTGAAATTAAAATGATATCATAAATATTATGGATGAAAGAAGTAAATGTATATGACACTTTCATGACACCAACATGATGCATTCATATGAAAAAATAAAATCGAAACAATCCACAAGATTTTGCTCAAATTTATCTGGGTTTTTTTTAACTAAATGTGACAAATCAATATGGTTTTTTTGAATCTATTTAAAAGTATTTATTAAATACATAATTGTTATGCATAATTGCATTCTTCGCCACATCTCGTTAACATGTAGAACTTACGTTATACTAAAAGTCTCACATCAATATCTCTTTTGGTCCCCGTTAGCTCCCTCCCTTGACCCTGACTCAGTTTCGCAAAGTTGATTCAAGATACCATGTGCCATAGACATAGAGAGCATACAATAAGCTCATGGTTCGAATACATTCCCAATGTTGTCACTGATCGAGCTCATGGTTCACTGTAACTTGTTTGAACATCCCTTTTTGCAAATGAGTTTCGGGTATTAACAACTCATCGGAACATATAGAGGGGAAAAGAAACAATTCCTTTACAACATTCAAAATCTTATCAAGTATTAACAAAGCATTAAACTAATCGATCGATCTATCAAATTTTCCAAACCAATTTGGTGATAAACGATGCATTCATATAGACCATAGATACTCAATTTGGTGATAAACGATGCATTCCCTTAAAACATTCCATCGATCAGGTAGCATATGAATACTATAAGTAAATTTTGATACATAGATAGCCAATATCCCGAACTATGATGTCTATAAAAAGAAAAGAGAAATCAATATGACAAACTAATAGCATTCGATGCCCAAAAACGAACTCTGAAAGAACAATGTCAAAATGATTAATTCGGAAGCTTGAATGTGAATAACCCCGTTTGGGATTTTTAACATTATTGATGTTGTGATCAAAGACACAGTCCCAAACATGTCCTAAAAAGATCAGAAATGGTCAGAGTTATAATTATTCATATTTTTAATAAAATAATGAGACATTTAATAAATTATATGATTAAGCTTTAAAAATGTCCATCTGGATTAAAAAAACTAATGTTTGGACAAAGTTATAATGTAAAATATTCGTTTGATAAGTACTAAAATTTACCATGTTACCCTCTGTATATTTTATTAGCTAAAATAATGGCATGTTAGAGCGATTAGCAGCGAACCCTATGGAGAAAGGGGGAGAATTTGTGCTTTTTCATCAAAATTACTGATTATAACGAAAATGTGTAAACACTCGATAAGATTGTGAGTTGTGAAGGTCTTATCTATATTATATTATAAAACATTTGATAAAAACTCTTAAAAACCATTTTTTATGCATGAAATATTGTTTATTGATGCATATTACTTAAAATTTAAGATTATAAATAAACTATGCATGAGTACAACTTATTAAAGTTGGATGTTTGAATTCGTGTAACTAATTGCAGATAGAAATAATCAAATATAAGATAAACATTTCATTTTAAAAATATAAAATCTAAAATATAATTAAGATAACCATTTCTAACATAATACTTAATCATTATCCTTATAAAAAATTATATTATTAAATTAAAAATAAATTATTTCGTTATTAAATCTAAATTAAATTATAATAAAAAAAATGAATTAAAGAAATTACCCAAAAAAGATATATTTATCAAAATTTATGATATATTTAAATTTATGTTTTATTCAAAAATAAAAACATTATCTTTTTTTCAAAACCATATAAACTGTACTTACAAGTAGATTGTGCGTAAATACAATCTATTAAAGTTATATGTTTGAATCGTGTAGCTAGCTGTAGATAAAATAATTAAATACAAGATAATCATCTCATTTAAATATAAATTAATTATGATAATCATTGAGGTCTAACAAAATACTTACTTATTATTTTTATAAAAAAATATATTATTAGACGAAACATAAATTACTTCATTATTAAACTTAAATTAAATTATAATAAAAAATTTGAATTAAAGAAATTAAACAAAAAGAGAACTTTTAAATAGTTATTTTGACACTGATATCGATATCTTTTTTCCAATTTTTTTTTGATATCTTCACATTTATATTTTATTCAAAAATAAAAAAATTATCGTTTTTTCAAAACCATATAAAATGATAGAGATAAAAAATAAAATAAAACATTAAAATCGAGATGTATCTTGCTGCATATATTACACGAGTACCATTCTAGTTTTATATGAATAAAAAAAAATCAAAGACTCTAAAAGAATCAAGAAGATCTAAGAAGTCAGTATTCCTTGAATGGGAGATCAAAGTCTTTTAGTTAAGTGGCTCTTTGAAAGAATAGGAGGCATTTATGTTTAAATAAAACCTAAAAACTATCAAACAATGGAACAAAATGGGTAATGTAAATCGTGTTAGTTGTTTTTTTTTATTAACCTGGATATCCAACCCACTATGCGAGCCGACTAATCTCAGGGTGACCATCTGCTTTGCAGATAGCCCGAAGTCACTACATTTGAATCTCCGTGGCCACAAGGGGATTTTTATTATTCCTTGGATTTTAACCTGAGACCTCTTGGTACTTTTTGACATTTAGAACCAAGTCTTGTTAGTTGTGATAACTTGATGGGTGGGTTTACTACATGTTTAGGAGGATTTGAACACCCATTAGTTGCTATATGATGTTGAGACTCATTAGAATTACCTTTGCAAATTAATTATGAAAACAATCATGGTATATATATAAACTATACCCCTATTTAAAGTTGTAACATCGCGGTTACATTAAGTTCGTTTACTATTTACCCAAAGCATTTTTCGAATTATAATCTCCAAAACAAATACGGGATATGAATTTTATATTTTCATCAAAAAATTAGGATCGGTTCAACCGAATAAAAAAAAACTTGTAACACAAAAGTTTCACGAAGCTTACAACCAACGATTTCAATACCAAAAAGGTCGGGACAAAATATATAACTACCCGACTATAATAACTACCTAAATACAACCTAAGACATAATTATATACATAACAAGTACCAAAATGACGTCCGGGGTCTTGAAACCTTCTACGGATCTACACCGCCTAATCTTTGCTTTTGTCCTTTATCGTCCTTCCTGAAAATATTTATTCTAACGGAATAAGCGACGAAGCTTAGTGAGCTTATATCGAAGTGTAAAAAAAATATGATGTAAAATACATATATTAACCGAGACAAAACAAAAATAACCGTTTAACTACAACCCATACAGTTAACATACATTGCAATACGATTCACACA